GTGGAGTGAATTACAGTTGTCCATGCATTAGGACGTGAGTGTTTAGTTTTGGCACATTGTGAATGTGCTAACGTTCAACTTCAACAAATATTGAGATGTGTTGAAATTGAAATAGCTGGATTATATGCTATGATGCTGCAGGACATAGTTCACTTTCATTTTGTTAGTGGTAAAGCCTGATAGAGCTCTTGTTTGATGTAATTTATTAAGTAACGGACAACTTTCATTACAACTGAGTCTGTTGTAACCGAAGGATATATATATATATATATATATTAGTAGATGTGCACACTCACATGAGTGTACTTGAAATAAGCAGTATGGATATATAGCCTGTTACAGATCATCTATGAATATTTACAGAATGAAAGAGAAGCATAGTATAGATATATTAGGGGATATAAAGATCCATTTCACATGGAGGAGAAAAAAAGGCTTCAAGACACCAATAGATGTGTTCCCTTTATATGTAGTATAGATGAATTTTGCAATGCATTGATAAATTTTGATATGGATTGATAAAATTTTGATCACAGTGACAAAAAGTTTCATACTCACCACCTATTTAATTTGAAAAAGTTTAAAGTTAAATTAACATTATTTTTTTATTTATATTTGTTAGCACTTGTTAACTACAAAAGATGAGGAAGCAAGAAAGAGAATGCTGAACAAAATGATGCCTAAAGCCATGAAAGCAAGATATCTTCTCTTCCCAATCCACCAAAATTTTCACTAGACAATACTTGTCCTTGACATTGAAGAAGGTTCATGGAAATTATACAATTCCATGAGACCAAGGGGAGCAATGGCTAAAGATCCACACTTTAATGCTGCAAATGAAGTGGTAAAAATGTTTTCACTATCAAACTTAACATTAATCCAATACATCAATCATGATCCATGCTCAATTATACATCAAAAATTTATACAGTAACATATTTCTCATTCTTTAAATCCACGGTTTCTCATTAATTGTTTCAACTGACTTTCTAATAGAACAATTATACAAATGTATATGTTGCAGAGAGAGATTATTGACAAGTACATAAAGGATGAGAAGCCAACTGTCATCCACCCTGATAAATTTCAACAGGAGACAGAGAGCGTCATCAGCAGCCCACAACAAGAAGACACGTCGTAAGTTCATCAATAACAAAACATTGTTATTAAAAAAAAAACGACGAAACCAAATTATAATATTTTGTTTTCAAAATGTTTTTGCAGACTTGATTGTGGAATCATTGTTTGCTATATCATGAGGCAATATGTTTCCAAAAATAACATAATGCCTACTTTTTCCAAGGAAGAATGCAATCAATTGAGAGCTGATATGTTAACTATCTTCTTGACTGACCAACAAGTTTCTCAACAACAAATACTTGATGAAGACATTGATGACTTGCCTCTGCAATAATCAACAGATCTGGAATAGAAGAAAACAAAAGGAAACACTGATTCATTTGGTTGTTAGAATGTCAATACTTCATACATTTTGCTTGTTTGCTTGTTACAGTGTTACCTGTATTTTGATGATTTTGGTTCTTACTTTTCTCCAATGAATATTACAATGCTTCGTTGTTACAAAGTTATGGACAGTGCTTGGTTGTTACAATGTCAAAGTTATGGACAATGCTTGGTTGTTACAATCTCAAATTTGCTTCAATGAAACATTTAATCTTTTTTAGCCATATCGTTACCAGATCTGGCTTTTGATATCAGTCTTGTTATCCAAATTTCATTCAAAATATTGATTCTAATCTGATTATTTGTGTTGAATTTAAAGGTTAATAACAGGTTTAGAGTCACTATACTGATAAATTTATTTTTTATAGTGTTTTGTTTACCCTGATAAATTTATCACTATTTCAACAAACTTATCACCGTGAACACTGATAAATTTACCACTGTTCAAACAAAAAAACCAGCGACTCTCTCTCTCTCTCTCTCTCATTCTTTTTCCCCAATTCAAGTAAACAAAACACTATAAAAAAGAATAAAAATTCACCTAATTGAAAATTAAAACACAAGCACTATTACATTATCCAAATTGGAAATTAAAATACTGTTACAATTTGTAGATATTCCCAACTTTGAGAATGAATGTAAGAACATGCCATCCTTGGTGATTTCTGAATAATCAAAACCATTTGATACTTCAGTTAAACAACTCAAACATGCAAAGCTAGCTTCTGAGTGACCACAAAACAGTATGCAAACTGAGAACTTGTTACTAAACCAGATAAACAAATTTTTTGCTTTTTGAAGCAGTTAACACAGCAGATATGCAATTATGTATTCTAGAGATTTGATTTACACCTTTGTATTGTGAAAATTTTTCCTGGGAAAACTAGATAACTCCAGCCAATGATAAATTTATCATTGTAGAAAAGAACATTTGCTTGGATATGATAGTGATAAACTTATCAACCACTGGCATAAATATAATAAACCATCAACTCTTCCCACACAATAAGTGATAGATTTATCATTCTTCAAAATAACAAAATTCAAGAACCACATTAATGGTAAATTTATCATTCTTACAAAAAAATAATCTATCAACTTGTCCAAACCAACCAGTGATAAATTTATCACTTTATAAAACACCAAAAATAACAACTACATTTAACCCAAATCAAATAACATAAATCTGTGAAACTTAATCCTGTAAAAATATCAGCAAAAAATATAATTTATGTTCAACAAATTCCTCAATCATTCAATGCGAGTACCAAAATGATATGTCTTTCAAAAAATACCCAATCATTCAATGTAAGTAACACCTCTCAACTCTCAACAAAGTAATTCAATTAAAATCAATACAACTAAAGCAAAGCTTCTTTACATGTCTTCCGATTATGAGTTCCCATCTTTCCACACCTACTGCACCTAATTCTCTTGATTTCCCCCTTAGAAGGTATTCTCTCCGTTCTTGGACGTCCAGCTGGTCTCTTACAAAGAGGAGGTAAAACAACCTCATCATCAACAACTACATTTGGCTTCCACATACTAGGAACTGGATAAACAGAATGTGAATAAGAATCACAATAACTACTAATACGGTAGTAATCATCAAGAAAGCAATTTAGATCTTTCCCACTCCTCTTTATAGCACAAAAACCAAGTTTGCAAGGAAAAGAATCAATTTCCCACTCGACAAGAATAACAACGTTTTCCAATATCAACCATAACTGAATGATCCAATTGGATTTCGTAAATGTCATCGCTACATTTCTTAACTATCCATGCTTTTGTATCATTAAAAGCTTCTTCTAACTTTTTCTCTGCAAAAGGAGAAACAATATGATTCCACTTATTCCCAACTTCTCTCCTTCTTGAAAATTGCTCCATTAGTTTCACCCATATAGCACCAACAAGACTAGTTGAAAACAAATGGCGTTCATCCCTAATTCATGAATTAAAAGATTCCGCAGCATTTGTGCACATTTCATCATACCTCTTGCCTTGAAAATAAGCGTTACACCAACACTCATTAGGCAAATTCTCAAGAAACTTCTCAACACTACAACCACAACGACCCTTAAATTTTTCAAATAGCTCATTAAACAACTCAATAGTAGGAGCATATGCACATCTACTAAAAAGAATAAGCAAATACTCTTTAGATTCACGACTCTTCACTAACAAATAAGTCTTCAAGTTTGTCTTCAAATGCATTAGACAAAAAGAATGAGAAGAAAACAAAAAGACCTCAGCTAAAGCTTTCCGCAAACCTCTATGTCGATCAGTAACAAATGCAATATCTCTCTCCGGAGTCAAAATACCTAATAACTTTGAAAAGAACCAATGCCAATTGTCATAATTTTCACTATCAACAATAACAAAACATAATGGATATAAACCAACAAACAAAATATATATTCACGTTATCAATGACAAATAAAAAAATTACAAAAAGAAAATCAAAACACAAAGTATATAACATATAGCACTAGCCATAGATAAATTTATCACTGTATAAATATAAAAATTTAACAAAAGTATACAGCATAAATTTATCACTAATAGATTGACCATACCCAATAATCAGCTCTCTCCAGTAACAAAAATGATAGAATTATCACTGTTTCAATAATAATAACAAATAGACACAAAATATACCTTGTTACCATCTTTTGCCATAGTAGCCAATAAACAACCTTTGTGTCTTCCTTTCAAGAAAGTTCCATCAAGCATCAACACAGGCCTACAATACTTGAAACCATGAATACATGCCTCAAAAGCGAAAAATAAGCATTTGAAATGTCTTCCTTTACTATCAATATCAAATTCCATATCAAAAACACTCCTCGGATTGCAAGCATTAGCGGCATCAACATACCAACGAAGATCGTCAAATGATGATGAATAGTCACCAAAAACAAGACCCCTTGCTTTTTCAACACCCATCCAAGCTCGCCGATGAGAAACTTCTGTTCTATAATAGTCCTTGAAATCACAAACCACCTCACTAACCGACGTCAAAGCCTTATTACGAATATCACTTGAAATTAGCCCACCAATCATACTTGAAGTCATCCTAGCATGTTTAATTGTACGAAAAGAAGATCCACAAGTATGAACATCATCAAATTGTTTAATAACAAAAGCTTTACTATAATTTTCCACTCCAGCATGCACGCTCCATAAACATCCCAAATCAGCCCTTCTCTTATAATGAACAGTGACACGATCCTTATCATTCTTAACAAAATCAAAATTAAAACCGGAATGAATAGAATACTTTACAACGCATCTCGAAATTCAATAACTTCTTGAGCAAACCTTTGTCCCACTCCTTTCATACAATTAACCCACCCATCGGAGAGTAAAGGTTTCTGTTGATTTGAATAAAATAAAGGCAAAAAATTAGTTTCACAAACAACACTACTACTACTACTACTACTACTACTAGCTTTACCATCACAAGTCATATAACCTTCACCCAATGAACAGCACTTTACAAAAACATCAATACGATGAATATCACAAGAAAGTGTCAGTCTAACCATAACCTCCAAATCCTCTTCACTTTGTAGACCACAATAAGAATGCCCAGGCATTGAATACAATATATTCAAAGAACTACCAACTAACTCACTCCACTTTGCACACAATTTATATACTAAATCCTTGAAACTAAATCCATCATTATACTTGATAACCAATGTCACACCTCTAAACTTGCACATAAGAAACAAACAATTCTCCATCACTATAAATCCTGCAACAAACAACAATTATATTTCAGCAAACAACTCAAACACCCTAAAACAAAATCAAATACAGTGATAAAATTATCAACCAACTCAAACACATCAAAAAACCAACACTGATAACTTTAACAGTTAACACCACCAAAGACCAAGAACAGTGAATAAGGCTTACACTTATTAGACATGTTAACTCGATTTGAATCTTACCATTACATTATGCAACCTTTTCATCTTCTATTCCCATACTCACTCATAAATTTATCACTATTGAAAATTTTAATCCAACAACACCCCCAAAATACACAGTGATAAAATTATCATTGTATAAAATAACAAACCAACACCTGTGTTCAATCAACACAATTTCGTAACCAAAAAAAATAAAAATCTAAAATTCAATCAACATATACATATCTCAAAACGTTCAATATCATGATCAAAACACAAATTCAATCATAATAGAAACAACAGAGTAACAACAATATCACCACAAAATCAAAATCACCAACTCAAACTAAAAAGAACCAAAACATTGAAATTGAAATCAAAATCAAACATACCAGTCGACCTAACTCCACAACATCGCAAATCAGAAAATGTAACGATATACCAAACGCGAAATCACAAATAGGAAGAATCACCAAGCACGTAATTGCAAATCACAAATCGCAAAGATACACCAAGCGCGAAATCAGAAATCACGAAGCTCCACAATAATACAGTAGCAAATCGTGAAGTTCCACAGAAATCCAAATCACAAACACAATATTTTGATGGAAAATCCAAACAGAAACACGCCAAAACAGGGGAGGGGTAAAACGGTACAAAAAAAAAGGCTCAGGACCTGTTGGTGGACAAGAGCAAAACTCAGGACTAAGAGGGGAATAAGTGTAAAAGGTAGGACCGGCCAGTAAAAAACCCAAAAAATAAATGCTGTATGGCCCCATCTATTCATTAGATGGCCCAAGTCTCTTTCTTCAAACCAAAAAAATTGTCAAGTGATATGGGCCCCATCTATTCATTAGATGGTCTAAGAGTATCTCTATCAATTCCCTTATAATAGCTTTTTGCTATTATAAGGGTTAATTCTTCACAAATTCTTTCCCAATACATCCCTTATACCATCTCTTAAATTTAGGATTGCTACAGTGACTCCCTATTTGTAGGAAGTCACTGTAGCTCCCTTATATCTGATAAATTCTTATTTTATTTCATTTTAGGCGTAAAGGAGAAGTCCTCTAGATGTCCCCTCGGATGTCTGTGAGTGTCCTGTAACTGAAGAAGAAAAATGCTCAAAAATGACTTAACTGGTCATTCACCCGAACGTTCGACCGGTCGACCTCCCGTACATTTGGCCCCTAGCTTCTACTTCTGTTGCTTTCTTCTGTAATCATCTCTATCAGCTTTGAGCCTCCATTTGCTCAAGCACTGCCTTTGGGACTTGGGACTGGGGCATCTCATTTGCTTAAGCTTTCACACCTCTCTCTCTCTCACACACACGCACACACATTTGCTCAAGTATTGCCTTTGAGTCTCATTTTTTACTTTATTTTATATTGTTTAATTATTTTATTATTAAAAAAATATTAAATTTAAAAATAATTAAAAAGATTATTTTAATAAAATAGAGAAAGAATAAGGAGGTTGTTGGAGAAGGTAGATGAAAAAGTGATTCCTAAAATAGGGAATGAATTTTTTAATAATATTTTACGATAAAATTTAAGTAAGCTGATAGAGATGCTCTCAGTGTCTTTTTTCCAACCCCCCCCCCTCCAAAAAAAAATTACTAAACATAGAATAAAATATAATTAAAAGTTCACTTTTTTTTTCTACTGCAACTTCAGAGCAATCATTTTTAGTCAAAGAAAATTGTTAAAATTAGACTTCGCAACAGATAGAAGTTGAATTTTTTATGGACTTTTTGCTTGTGTACATTGAAATAGAAATTGTTGAAAATTTTACCATGGAGTTAAGCATGAAGACTTTCAAGATATGAAAGAACGTCGAATTTCACTTTGATAGATGATTGAGTTGATTTGTATAAATAATTATTTAATACATGAATTTACTTTTATTCATATATTAAATTCACTAAATATATGATTGTTTTATTTTTTACGTACTAATTTAATATTAAATTTTAGTTTATTTTTTGAATTCAAAAAAATAATAGTTTATATCAATTCATGTAAAAAAATTATTCATGTCTTGACCTCCGCAAATGAATTTCTAGTTCAATCCCTGATCGTGGATCATGTGATCATGGATGTGTAAGTCTAGCAATTATACTAACAGTATATTTACACAATTATCATAATAATAATGATTATAAACAATAATCTATATAAACAAAAATGAGAGTATAAGAAAATATAATTGTGAGATTTTGGGAATCACATTGTTACTCTCTTAAATTTGCTTTACCTCCTTTCGTGAAGGTACAGCTAGAGGGGCAGTTCTAAGATTAAAATCATGTTGCTCACGATATCTCTTTCAACTATGTCACAAACCAAAATTACTCAAAATATCAATATAGAATATAGAGAACTCTCTTCAGAGCTTCACATTTTTTAAATCACATTTTCTATTACCACTTTTGTGTATTCTCAAAGCCTATCTTCCCTCATAAATATGGCAAAGTATATATATATATATATATAAGAATAGGTATAAATATAATTAACTATCAATTAAACTCATATTTAATATCATAATTATCTTAAAATAAATCCACATAATATGATTGTAATGACAATATAAATTTTGTAACTTTAACATAATTATAAATATTGTAACAATTAAATAATAAAATTGTTTAATCATAAAAACTAAAATTGTTTAAATAATAACTTTAACATAATTATAAATATTGTAACAATTAAATAATAAAATTAAAATTGTTTAAATAATAAAATTTTGTAACTTTAACATAATTATAAATAGTGTAAAGGAAAGAAATAAACCTTCTCGTATAATCCTGTTGATCAAGTCTGCGCTCCTCCGTACGACGTCGCTTTATTACCTGAAAACACAAACGTGAGCTAGCCGGCGGGTGTGTGCCAGAAACCTCTCCGATGCCTAAGTCAGTAAGCTTGACAAATAGACAAAAACTCTGTGTATCCAGAAAACAAAGTTGTGTTACCTCTCCAAAGGTAATGTTTGTGAGCTTTTATAGGTTTTGTGTGGCACAATCCTAGTAGGACTTCTACTCCTCCATGCAGAGTCCTCCTAGGATTCATACTCCTGAAAGATAATGCTTATCCTTCAACACCCCCCTCACTGCTTAAACTAAGTGAGATGGTTTCTACCATGGCCGAACTCCAATATGACCAAAGTAATTATGATCACGCCGAGCCACAGAGTAGACCGAACTATCGTTAGTTCGGTTCTACCTTCAGTGTTCCTACTCCAGTTCCTCCATTGTCAACAGTGTTAAGTCTGAACCGATCTAACTTCTAGCAAGGCTTTTAGACCGAACTAACCATATTGTGCCTTAACCGATATAAGTTCAGCGCATCCTTAAACCGGTCCAACTACAAAGCGTCCTTTAACAGGACTAATATCAAGAGTAACTCGGACCGGTCTACCTTCTGGTCTTGAGATTGGGCTAACTTTAAGCCTCTTCAAGACCGGAGTAACTTTATGGCCTCCTTACTCAGCCCTTCGTATTGAGGCCCATAAAGGCCCAGCTCGGCCCAATTTTGCATGTAAATTACCCTCTCAATTGCCCCTTCATTCTATCTGTGTAGCATGATAGGGATTACCTGTCTATAAACCGGGCTAAAGTTTTACCTTTTCAACCGAGCTAAAAAAACCCTTTAGCCTTTCCAGCTGAGCTAAAACTCTCTCAGCCGAGCTAAACCTAAGCCGAGTTGTGCTTGTCCGGTCACAACGTCCCTTCAATCACAGAAACTAAATCGATTATTATCCCTATGACACGTGGCATGCTGACATTGGCTTACTGCAGCTGTCGCGCCGCCCTCGTACTCCGCAAAATTTGAACAGTTCCCGCCTTTTGCCCCTTCTCTTTCCACAAAACAACCCTTTCATCCTTTGAATCACCCTCATCGATCATTTTTACTGTTTTCAAGCTTTTCTCTCTCTTTTTGCCTCCATTGCACTTTAACCTCTGAGCTCGTGTTCTCCATTGCTGCTGCTCTCATCTCTAGTTCTTGCTTCTTCATCTGGTAAGCACTGCACCTCTATCTTGCTTTCCTTATTTTCGTACTTTGTTTTGTGGTCTTTGCATTTGCTTTCTTTCATTCTTGGCACACTATTTCTGTTTTTGCAAAACATATATTCTTGCTCCACCTTGTGTTTTCTAGGAAAAACTTCATAAGAACCTCATGAACTTCATGAAGTAATCTATAAAACAGTGTTTGATCCACAATTACCATATAACCGAACTAAAAAGTAGTTTATAGTCAATGTTCTTCTATCAGAGACTTTAACCGAACTAGTACTCCATGTTGGTACCAGTAGTTTGAATAAGTCAAACCACTTCTTGATAGACCTTAGCCGAGGTAAACGAACCGAACTAAGTCCGAACGTAGCATAATGAAACCTTATCGTTTGACCGAGCTAGGTCTTTGGGGCTAAGCCAGCTTTCTAAGTTTTTAGACCGAACTCAGAAAGCTGCCCCTAGAGGCTTAACCGATCTAACTGAGCCTTCTCTATAACCGAGATAACGAATCGCTTTGCCAAGACCGAGCTATCGAACCGCCTACTTAATCCAAGCTACTAAGCATCTTGTTGAAACCAAGACAGATCCTGTAACAACCCACACAGCCGAAGTAGGACTCATATTCTTGCTTTTATTTTGTAGCACAGTCCAATGACCTGTGCTTAACCCCTTTGTTTTCCACTTTGCAGACTTAGGTTGCCCAGGCACTCCACTGTGCGCCCAACTGAGCTACTGAGCACAATTTTGCGACCGAACTAATTTATCCATAAATTAAAAAATAAATGTGGAAGTATAGGTTTTTGGTAGAAACCCCTGGTGGCCTGGCCGAATTCCGAAGGGATTACAACATCCCTGACGACGTCCAACTTATTCTGGCCGAACAAGATACCCTTCCATGGGGAAAAGAGGGTTGTGTACCTTTCACCCTCCTATCAATAATAGAAACCGGACTAAGATTCCCTGTTCAACCCTTGATTTGTGAATTTCTAAGACAAACCAGAATATGCCCAACTCAGCTTTCCACCAATTCTTACCGTATAATAATGGGCATAGCCGAACTAAACCGCCGAGCCGGTCTTAACCTCGGTCTAGCCGAAATATTCCACCAATACTCCATTGGCTCCAAAGATGATGGTTGGGTCTACTACCTTAGGATACGTCGTCGTAGAGAAAAAATAATAAAAGATACGCCGGATAAGGACTTAAACGATGATGACTTTTTCTGGGTGTCTGGCAATTTTGAAGACCAGCAAGCCCAGATCCCTGGCCGAAGTATAAACTGGAATAAAGGAGAACCTGATATAATTATTTCGATTTTTGGCATGCTTTGCTTTATTTCAGTTACCTGCTTCTGAACCGAACTAACAGTTTGTCTTCTTTATGCAGATTCAGCCCATTTTCAATCACTTTACAGCTACCCCAATCTAGGCACTCTCCGCGCCGCACTACGGTATCCAGAACGGAGTTGGGCCAAGCTGTTAAATTTTGAACCGACATACAGATACAGCGGCTGCCGAAAAGCGAGAGTGACCAACTTTCTGCTAGAGGAGGCCCCCGAACCAGACCTAACCTTGCCACAAATTAGACTAATCCCACTGACCGCTGAAGAAGAAATGGCCAAGAGAAACAGAGTCAGGGCCCTCTTGACCGAGACAAACAGGACCGAGGTACCACCACCAAACCAAACTCAAGAGACCGTGGTGGCTCTTCCTTCTCAACAGCCTTCTTCCTCATGCCAAACTAAACGCGCCCGGACTACCCAGACCAAACAACGGTTAGTTGATGAAGAGGAAACCATCCTCCCACTGAGCCAACCACCAAGTCTGCAACCAGAGCCATCTGACCGAGCTACCTCCAAGTGGGCACCGAAGCTCACATATCAGAACCGAAATATTAAGGAAACTGATTCGGTGGTTGCTGAGAAAGATCACATACTGGCCTTCAACCTTGCCAAAAGTGTGTGCCTTCCAAAGGACATGGAGCACCATAATCAGTTAAACACCGAGCTGAGGCCATCCGGTCTTCAACAAAATCCATGAGCCTGGTAGGTAGCACTCTCTTTTGCTTTTGTGCCTTTCTAATTCTTCCTACTTTAAGCTCGGCTAAAAAGGAAAGTTTCTATTCTATTGCAGGCCATTCAGAAGAACCACATTGCACACAAGCGGGTGTTGGAGCTCAAGAGAACATTAAGGGAGGCCATGGCAGAGGCCGAAGCCAAAACCGCCGAGCTCAAACAAGAACAAGCAAGGACGGCCGAGCTAGAGGCCGAGGTGACTCGTCTGACCGGCCTAGTTGCTTCGACCGATGCTGACAGACAGAGAGCCCTAACCTAGATGAAAGATAAGTATTTGCGGGAACTGGCGAAGCTTGAGGGTGTTAAGGACGCCGAAATAAACGTCTTGAAGAAGAAAGCTGAAGATGCCAAGGTGAAGGGCTTCAAGGAAGGTGAAGCAGCATACATCCAGCAGTGTGAAGCTGTGAAGGACTTGCTCTTCAAGTGCGGCTGGAGGGGTGCCGTGGAGCAGCTCGATTGCGGTCCCGACACCGAGGTCTTCGATGCTCCTCAGTATTTTATTCTGGCCACACTGGCGGAGTATGCAGCCGATCTACAGAAGCAATTCCTTGAAGTGTCTGACGACGACGATGAAGAGAATGAGCCAACTGACACTCCGGTAGTCAATGAGCAAGGCAACGATCAACCAGCTCGGTTGGAGCCAACGTTTGAAGACCTAACTGTTGAGCCGTCGACTGACACCGTGCTTCCAGTTGCTACTGAGACTGATCTTCCATCTGCAACCGGTGTTCAGGTTGATATTGAAGCCGATCTTGAAAACCTTTTTAATTAATTTGTATTTTTTCCTTTTTCTTCTTTTTGCTTTGACTTGTAACCGGGCTATGCCCCCCCTTTGTAATTGCTTTGAACTTGATTAATGGAAATCATCTTTTCTGTTACAACACTTTTTCGGTTTGAACCGTATACTTATACTTGTAATGACTTTTCCATGATCTTTTCACTTCCAACTATTATCTTGGTTTAAATTCCTGTTTGAGCTTGCTTTCTAATAGTAGTGTGGCCGAGATACTTTATTCTGGTCTCAGCTGAGCAATCTGACTGAGCTTACTTGCCAACCACTCTTTAGCCGATGTCCTTACTTCGGCTAAAGAGTACTAAGAGTTGGTTTAATTCAGCCAACCATTCTTTTAGCCGATATCCTTACTTCGGCTAAAGAGTACTAAGAGTTGGTTTAATCCAGCCAACCACTCTTTCAGCTGATGTCCTTACTTCGGCTAAGAGTACTAAGAGTTGGTTTAATCCAGCCAACCACTCTTTAGCTAATGTCCTTACTTCGGCTAAAGAGTACTAAGAGTTGGTTTAATCGAGCCAACCTCTAAGTTAGTTTTTCCAGCCAACTTAGAATAGAATATTTGGTTAGTTCGACCAAACGTCCTGTAGCCTGGATCCTTTTCCTGGGCTTAGGAGGGGTGTTGGTTTAAACCAGCCAACCTCTAAGTTAGTTTTTCCAGCCAACTTAGAATAAAATGTTTAGTTATTCCGACCAAACGTCCTGCAGCCTGGATCCTTATCCTGGGCTTAGAAGGGGTGTTGGTTTAATCCAGCCAACCTTTAGATTGGTTTTTTCAGCCAACCTAAAGTAAAGTGTTTGGTTATTCCGACCAAATGTCCTGCAGCGTGGATCCTTATCCTGGGCTTAGGAAGGGTGTTGGTTTAATCCAGCCAACCTTTAGATTGGTTTTTCCAGCCAACCTAAAGTAAAATGTTTGGTTATTCCGATCAAACGTCCTGCAGCCTGGATCCTTATCCTGGACTTAGGAAGGGTGTTGGTTTAATCCAGCCAACCTCTAAGTTGGTTTTTCTAGCCAGCTTAGAATAAAATGTTTGCAATGTTCCTAACTTCACTAAAACTAACTTTTACAGAGAACAACTATGCTGAAAAGAATCGATTTGTTTTATTGAGGAAAGAAAAAATTACACATGTTTGAAAAAGGAAAGCTAAAAATAAAATAACTTGAGATTGGCGGTGTTCCATGGCCTAGGGATTGCTTTGCCGTCCTTGTCTTCTAGGTGGTATGCCCCTTTGCCTGCTAACCCAACCACTTTGTAAGGACCTTCCCAATTAGGCCCTTGCTTGCCATCTCCTTGCACCAGGGTGTTTCCCATCACTTTGCGCAGCACCCAATCTCCGATCTTGAATTGCCCTGGATGTACTGTTTTGTTGTACTTCCTGGATAACTCTTGTTGATATGAGGCAATGTGAACTAGTGCTCTTTCTCTTTTTTCTTGTGCAAGGTTGAGTTCCAATGTTATGGCTTCGCCGTTTAAGTCTGGATCAAAATTTTCACTTCGAATTGTGGGGAGGCCAACTTCTAGTGGGATTACTGCTTCCATACCGTAGGCTAAGGAGAATGGTGTTTCTCTTGTTGACTGCCGAGGTGTGGTGCGGTAAGCCCATAAAACATGAGGAAATTCTTCCGCCCATTTGCCTTTGGCTTTCTCCAACCTTTTCTTCAACCCATCCAAGACTACCTTGTTTGAAGCTTCTGCCTGTCCATTTTCTTGGGGATATGCCGGTGTAGAATTATAGAACTCTATCTTGTACTCTTCAAAAAAGCCTCTGAAGATTCTGCCGTCGAACTGAGTGCCATTGTCTGAGATTAGGGCTTTTGGTATGCCAAACCGAGTGATGATATTCTACCAGATGAACTTCTTTACATCTCTTTCCTTGATTGATGCCAATGCTTCTGCTTCCACCCACTTTGTGAAGTAGTATGTTGCTGCGAGAAAGAACTTCCTGTTGCCGGGTGCTGTTGGAAGTGGTCCTACTATGTTCGAGCCCCACATTGCGAAAGGCCATGGGCTAGTCAATGGTAGGAGTTCTCTAGCTGGTTGATGTATTTGGTGTGCGAATTTTTGACATTTCTTGCACTTCTTCACTTATTTCTTTGAGTCTGCCTGCATGTATGGCCACCAGTATCCTTGCGAAATGGCCCTGTAAGCTAGCGATCTTCCTCCTTGATGGCTTCCGCACACCCCTTCATGTAT